TAGAATTTGTAAACTATACAATACAATAAAATATAGAAGAACATAGGCAAAGTAAAGCGATAAGTTAGCCTGCGAGTGAAAAGAGAGTGAGTCAGAGTAAAGGGTCAGCATGAATCGAGAACTTATCGGTGTGGCCCATGCAAAGGCCCATTAAATTGATAGCCACCTCATCACTTTCATTTTAATTTTACCGTTTTCGAGGGTCTTGTGAAAACCAGTTGGTGGTAGAGCAAGGAACCTTGGTCGACATAGGAATACATGGACTTTTCATCTGCAAAGTTTTTTTTTAGTGAATCAGGTCTCCTACTTTTTAGGAGCGGATGAATCTCCGTCTACATTAAATAATGAGATAGAAAAAAACACATGAATAGGCAATCATGATTGTGAAATACGGTACGTAGTAAGGTAGTTGTATAGGTGTGAACGATGTGGATACTGCAAGGTGAACAAACAGTTGATATTCGGGAAAAACGGGAGAACGTGCTTCAGTATGAGGAGGGAGGAAAAGGAAAAGGAAAACAGCCGGAAGCTTCTGGAAAAAGCTTGCAAGCATCTGCTAGACTATTTAAAAAAGAAGGCTTTTACTTTCATCGCGGTGAAGTTGAAATAATTCTCGGAATAGATGGAGAATTGGAGGCTTCATTATCACTTCCAGTTGCACTTTATTAAGTGGACTTCTAGCCAGCTGTTTAAATAAATTGGTGTCGGTTTGTGGCTGTTGCGGAAAAACTGATGATTTACCATCCAATTATTTTGAAAGGTAACGAGTTGTAAACAGTAGGGATTTGCCTACTGAAGTAAACACGGCATTGTTTCCTGTGAAGCCACTGATGCGAGCAATATCTATAGAAACTGGCAAAGGCATAATATAATTAAGGTTCGCAGGATGTGAGATATCTGGAAAATGTTAACATGACTTACCAGTTACCAGTGAAAGTTACCAATAAATAAATGCTATGAAAGATCAAGAAAAGTCTCCAACTTGAAAGGGGAAAAACCTTGTTTAAAGTGCTATGGAACTGGAGATTTGAGAGACCGCACTGACCAGCCAAGTAAGGGACCATCAAACTTAATCAGAGAGCTGATTTATCATATAAGATTCTTATTCAAACACTCGGATTGGAATTCCGGCGCCAAGCAAATCTAAGTTTTGTAAAATTGATGCCGAAATAAAAATTAGCAGCGTAACTCACACTGTGCAGCTCAAAAACCGAGGAAGTTTCAAAAAAAAACTAGTTCGTCCTACGAGGAGACAGTAGGCCATTTTTCAAAAACGTGATAATTACAAAGATGTTGGAATTTTGTGGATTGGTTGAAAAATAGGTTGGAAATNAAAAAAAAAACTAATTCGTCCTACGAGGAGACAGTAGGCCATTTTTCAAAAACGTGATAATTACAAAGATGTTGGAATTTTGTGGATTGGTTGAAAAATAGGTTGGAAATCGAAAAATTATTGGTAGAAGTCACATGAAAGGGAAGAGGCGGAGTTGGCCCCAAGGAGTTCGCAGTTTGCCCTTACCAAGCTTTGCGAGAAAAATCGGAAGTGGTTAAGGGAAGTTCTCAGGAAGGAAGATGTCTAAAGTGGGAATTTTGTGGGAAAATACCTTATCCGGTGCTAGGATGTCTAGGAATGGAATAACAAGCAAAGTTCACGGGAATTTTTGAAATTTGAAAACATTCGCTTAAGATCGGTATGGTCAGGCTCCATGATTATGCCAGGAAGACGGTATGGGACATATCGAGCTCCAAAATTCAATCAATATCGATCGAAATTATCGCTTACAGAGGAAAGGGCAGAGTGATTCTTGAGTGATTCTTGTATCTATAGCAATCGAGTACGTTTAATTCTGGTAAAAATATGCATAATTATCGAGCTAGCAATCAATAATATTGATTTATTTTAACGAGCGCGCTGAATGAATTTAAACTTGAAGCATATGAGAGGAAGTTCTGCTTGTATACTGGTTTGAATCAATCAATAAATGTGCCACTTCAAATCGATCCGCCTAGATCGAAGGATCAGTCGATACTGGTGAAGTCTGGACCTTGATTCGATTCTCTGATCATGATTTTATGGCTGTATTACTTGTTAACGTACTACCTCTTCTCACTATGATTTATAAACGTAAGAAGTGGATAGGAATGTTGTCCAACCTGTTTCATGTCATATTCTCATAAACGACCTAATCTTCTGTCATTCACTACATTGTATTCCCAATGGAATTGCTGAAATCATGATTAGATTACCAGCGAATGTCTTCAAAATACAATATGTGTTACAGCTCCCAAATACAATCTACAAGTATTTAAAAAGTTGGTAGTGTAGCCACACTGTAGCGGATTGCTACCGGCTTGATAGTATGTTCTACTGTATGATTCCTCTCGATACCTTTTGATATCATCATTTTATGAGATTTTGGAAGTTTTCCTTCTTGATTGAGAGAATAAACTTTGAAATTTACTTACTTTTATGAGCGCAAAATGCTCTTATTGGTATATACAGTAACTGACCTTTTTATTACTAACTAATTCAACTCTTGATTTTGAAACCTTGTCAAAAGTCTTTCCTGTATTATTCATGGCCAAGCCACACCTCACGAATTCGAAGGAGTAAGGATTCAGTCGATCAGGAACATCCGTAATCAAAAACTTTGTCAAAAAATACAAATATGCCTCCTATTTTGTTGTAATTTAAAGTTTGTTAACAGTCAGTTGAAGGTTTGCCTCGTTCAATATTGACAGGATAAAGGATAAGGATAGAGTAACCCACTAACAGTAAAAAAGTTTCCCTGACACACTGTATTACTAGTAATTATCGTAGTGATGTTCATGGTCAAACCTCCACTACCTCTTTTTGTCTGGTAAATCGGCCCAATATCTCATATTCAGCACTTAATTCACGCAGCTTCATGTCCAGCAAATGCTCTGCAGAGTCGATTGCCTCTTTGACTTCCCATACCAAAAAAGGCCACACGTGTTGATCCTCCTAGAGGGGAGGCTGAAGTCGAATTTTTCGATATCGGGAAACCTCTTTCTTTTCATTTGCCGTCTTCAGTACTTCTTCGAATGTATTAACTGAGTCAAGGTTCAGATTTGAGTTGTTCTCCCCATTCCCAACATGAATTCGAAGTAGAGCTTCATGGCCATCAGTGGCTTTTTTCGCTGCTCTCAACCTGAGTGCCATGAGCAGGTGGAGGCCTTTGTGATGTTTCCTCCTCTTCCTTTTTGATGTCCTCTTCGAACTAGACGTCATGGACGAGATACTCGTCCTCGTCGAGATTCATGCCCGTGGCCATTCTTCAATACAGGTTTGACGATTCCTCTTCGATCGAGCAGCGTGCCAACCAAGCGTTCCATCCATCTGGGGTCTGTTAATTGGTACCAGGCTCATGAGGGAGGATAAAAGCAGTGACTTGAACATCGGCTGGCCATGCAATTGTTCATGATTTCAAAAACTGAAAAAAGTTGTGTATTTCCTGTAATATTCATGGCCAACCCATGCTTCAAGAACTCCATGGAGTACGAACCTCCTAATAAAGGTAACAATTCTTCAGAAAACTTCGTCAACGAAAAGAAATGTACATCCCCTGTATTGCTCCGTAAATTTTTTTTACATTATTCGAGAATTTGATATTTGTCTTTTGTAATACCAGTAATTACTGTAAAATGTTCATGGTCAAATTCATTCACAGAAATCAGACAAATGGGCTGAGATCCCATATTCAGCACTCGAGGGTGTCCTGAGCTTCATTCCCGAGGCTTGGCAATGTTTTTCCCGCTCTTGACTGACAATGTTCCATGAAGCACTTTTTTCAGATTGAGAAAAACTTCCTGAAATTTCCCACCACCAGCTCTTCTAGTATTTCTGCCCAACTAACCTTTGTTGGAGAAATCGAAATGCCAAACAGAATTGCTCCTTCAGAAAATCTTTTTTTTAGTTTCGAAAAGTATCTTACACTAGAGTATACAAAACAAACAATTAATTCTGTTAATAAATAGATGAGTATCAAACTTAATAGGTAATTAAATGATTTGAATAATGAAACGAAAATCAAAACAGCTCAAATGAATCTGTGTTTGAATTTTCTGAGGTACTCTCGCAAATTGTTCCAATTCAGGTTTTCTAGAGGGAAAACCCATGACGAGTAGCTTTTCCAAGGTCTGTGATAATCTATGTTCCAAGTTGGTCCGCGATTAGTGGCATTAGTGTCGTTATCAGTGCGAATCGAGCATTTCCACATTGATTTCCAGCTTAACTACACTTATGAGAGCTTCTGATAACGACTGACCATTTGATGATAATTCATTACTCCTAGAACATTACTATTGTTACTTTTTTCTTATTTTACAACTCAAAAGCTTTGTGATTCATGCAGTGCTAGCTTTCA